TTATTTCAATGAATTTACAATTGTAAATAATGCAATCCTGATAACAGATATAAGTAACATTAGTCTCTGATGATAATGTTCAGGTGTTTATGTATACTGCTTATTTCCCCTTCTGCAATTCATTTTTTTTAACAATTGTAGGTCATATAGATGCTTGTTAAATAAGCAAGTAATTTATTGATGAAATATTTCATTTACAAAGTAAGATTAATAATTCATATGTAAATTTATTTTAGCCATTTGCAAAGCATGTAAGTCACAAATCTCCAGTGATCTAGAGACTTTTCCAGATGTGGTACGTTTTTTTTTCCTTTTACTTTTTCAGGCTACATGTTTTTGATCACACACAGCAACTGAAAACAAATGTACCATGTATAGTACATATACATGTACTAAACTATATGTGCTTTTCATCTGTTTATTAACTGGCTATCATTAAGATCAATGTAATTTTCAGATTATTATAAAGTTAATTATATCTTTATTGCATCATTTTCACATTCTGGTAGTATTACTTACACATTTTATTTTTCAGTTATTTACAATGTAAAGAGCTATTACAAACGTAAACATAATTCAATAAATTTTGATGCAGTTTGAGATTTTAAAGTAATTACCTTTTTTTTATTATGAAGGTTGATGTGTTTTCTAGTGATACTTGCTGCTTTGAACACCTTTTACAGGATCAGGTATGTAATTTTGTATTAACCCCCTCCCTCTCCCCCCCCCCCCAAAAAAAAAATTATATGTTTACCAGTATTTATACTTTTACTCATTTAGTGTTTAAATTTTTGTCCTTCAGGTAGACCTGACTGATGAAATTTCTGATTTAAATCAGGTTTATATGATGTCAATGTAACACTTAATGTGTAATTAAGTTTTTGAAAACAAGAACAATTTTTTTTTTCGAAGACATGTATACGTATACATGTATTAATACTAATCAATGTTAAACAAGCATACTGCATTTATTAAAAAAAATATACAATTGAAAATATTTTTTACAGTTTCACCATGGATCAGGTACATGCAATGATTGCATAACATCAGAAGACAGGACAAAGAAAAATGAAGATGATGAACACATGGTATTAAAGTTCAAAATTTATTCAAATAAATAGGAGTATCAGTTTGTCTTGATGTATATTTTAAAATTATAATACATCATAAGGGCCCTGCATGAAAATGAAGGGGGTCCTATAATGATCACATTGCCTGTCTGTCTGGCAGCACTTCTGTTGTGACATGATTACATGTACTCAGTTTTCAACGTAACATTTTCAAATTTTACACAGAGGAATTTGACTATAAGAGACACACTGTTTGAAACTTTAAGGATATACATGTATCACTTTTAATTATACCCCCGCTCCGAAGGAGAGGGAATACCGGTATACTGTTTAACCCTTGTATGTATGTCAGTCTGTGACAAATTTTTGTCGCACTTTACTTAGCAACTACTCATTGTAGATGCTTGAAATTTTAGCACATTTTGTTTAGGCCTACCATATGGTGGGACTCATTTTATTTTTACCAAACCGATGTCAACTTCCTATATATCCGTGTGTCTGTCAGTACCAATTTTCTGTCGCAGTTTTCTCAGCAACTTCTCATCACAGATGCTTTAAATTTTAGCACAGTCTTTGTTTAGGCATGCCATATGGTGGTATTCATTTTTGTATCAATCAAATGTCAACTTCCTGTTTATCCTTGCATCTGTCTGTACCAATTTTCCAACACAATTCTCTCAGCAACTACTCATCGCAATTGCTTGAAATTTTACCCGTCTTTGTTTAGGCATGCCATATTGTGGGATTCATGAGAGCATATATTCACATCAGAGTGGGGGTATTACAAGTGAGCATTGGCTCACAGATTTCTCATTCTGTATGTATGTAATGTATGTCTTCTAAGTCCATCTCTGACAACGGAGAGGTTAAGCAGATGACCATGTACGTCTACGTGTATGTGTAGCTAGGAAAATCCCCTTATTTAATGCGATTTATGTCATCAGTTTTGCATACTGCGTAATTCTACAAGTTGTACACATGTAGATTCATAAGTACATGGAGGTAAGAATGTGTAGCTTGCAGTAATAATGTTCATGTTACTTAAACAACATTATAATATCAGTAAAATTATACATACATACATTGTTGTAGTATACAAGTTCCAACACTGAAATTTCCGAGCGTGGTGCTTCCACATGTTTACTTACTATGAAGGGAGATAATTCTATTTGAGAACTATGGAGCGCAATATGTGTAATGAAATCCACCACATTCCCCACCTGATATTGAAAATATCACTAATATATTTAAAACATGAAATGGATAATTCACAGATTTCTACTTGAAATAAAGTAATAAACAAATTATTGAGACATGTATATCATGTGATACAGTTTCATTGTTCAGAAAGGTTAAGTCTCAGTCCTCATGAATCAGAAGAACAAGTTCTGATACTGGCCTTGTGTAAGTCGTGGATTTGCCGTCCTTCATTATTCTCACTTCCACTTTACGCACTTTGTCGTCAGCACTTTTGATTGCATTAGTTACGGAATCAGGACAACTCGCCCCCAAGACAAGTCGCCCCCAACACTATTAAAGACAGCTCGCCCCCAGTTTAGGACAACTCGCCCCCATTATTTTTTCTTGTGAATTGCAAGAAAAAAAAACAACTATTATTCAATAAAGTATATTATATATGAAAATTTAAATTGTATTTAATATTTACGATTGTATTTGTAATAGATTATTAAGTGTTTGTTTATTTTTTCACGCATTTACATCATATTTTTGTATTAAGCAAACACAGTGTATGCATAAAATATTTATTATAATTTTCCTTTTTTCTTAGATTTTATTCTTATGAAATCAAAGAGCGAATAAATGCATTTTGAATCATCATATTTTTTAAATTTACATTTATATTAGTAAAATATGTCTACGTAAATAAAGCACATTGTCTTAAGTGTCTCTTAAGTGTTAAAACATCTTAATTATTTAATGACATATTAATAACGTTCCATCGACGGCGTTAGGAAACTTATGATAACTAAAATGAAAACATCAGACAAAATTTTAATGAAACCCCCCTTAATCACAAGTAATTTGAAACTTCAACGTGATGATTAATTAGGACATGCAAGCCCCGAAAATTACGTTTATTTCCTTGGTAAAAATTGCAACTTCAAAGTGATGATTAATTAGTTCAAACAAGCCCCGAAAATTAAGTTTGTTTCGTTGGTAAAAAAAATTGGCGTATCCAAGCTCCGAAGCAGCTTTAAAGTAATGAAGAATTAGGGCATGCAAGCTCCGAAAATTACGTATATTTAGTTGGTTAAAAATTGGCGTATCCAAGCTCCGAAGCAGTTTCAAAGTGATGAAGAATTCAAGAAAGCTTGTATTTGGAAACAAATAATTTAACGTGGTCCCTATATAAGGAAGAAATGACAGGATTTGGCATCAGTTTCATCATGACTGACTTGTGCATTGTATGCAATCTTCATCTCCGACAGCGCCAAGAGATTTTATGTTGCATTTCCTGCCAAGGAAAACAGCATAGGACACATAACTCAGGTTAGAAAAAACATATAATATTAAAAACATTATATCAATCGTGTCTTCTCTTCTATTTTAAGCGCAATTTTAGAGGCATAAATGCAAATATTGATGAATTTAATATAAACATATTGAAAATAACTGTGAATTGGACGAAGATATAGTGCTGAAAATAAATATTAGTGTTTATATTACATGTATATGCTTTATTTTCGATAAAGTTTAGAAAATTTAGAAAATTTATTTTCGGTTGTTTGTTATATTTTTTGAAATACAAATTATTAAGTGAAACTGACGTCAGGAACATTAAAAAAATATATCAAAATTAAAAAATATATACATATATATACTTAGATAAAAAATAATATATTTGACTTCTGTTGCTTTCTTAAAATTGGGGGCGAGTTGTCCTGAATTGGGGGGCGAGTTGTCTTGGGGACGAGTTGTCCAGCATTCTTAGTTACGATTCCAATCGGCCACTCACATCTTGCGGTGCTTGAGTCTTTCACGAGAACCACATCTCCAACACAGAGATCAGGTAAGATATTTTGCCATTTTGAAGTGTTATTAGGTATTCCTTTTTCCAGCGCTCCCAGAAAATATTAGCCAGATGTTGAACACAGCGCCACTGTGATTTACACATATCCTTGATGCTGAATGGTCCAAAATTGGTCGGAATGTTGTAAGTTTTCTGAGTCAGCAACATGTTTGGGCTGAGAATTATAGGGGCTTCTGGATCGGACGACACTGGGACGATTGTCCTTGAATTAACGATGGCACATACTTCGGCCATAAGAGTTGTCAATACTTCATGAGTAAGATGTTTTGAATGCAAGTCAATGAGCATTGAGTCGAGTATCCTCCGGGTAATCCCAATCATGCGTTCCCACACTCCACCCATGTGGGAGGAATGTGGGGGATTGAAGATCCAAGTCACCTTCTGATCTGATAGAAATTCCTGAACAGGCTTGTCTTCCACATTTATGGCATTGACGTCTAGATCATCAATTGCTCCAACGAAATTTGATCCACGATCAGATCGGATTTCTTTTACATTTCCTCTGAGAGCAATAAATCTTCGCAAGCAGTTGATGAAAGAAGAGGATGAAAGTTCTTCAATCACTTCTATATGAATGGCTCTGGTGTATAAGCAAGTGAAAAGTACGGCCCATCGCTTGCTGTTCGACACTCCACCTCTAGTTTTGCGAGTCGAAATTGTCCATGGCCCAAAAGTATCTAACCCAATGTAAGTGAAAGGAGGGCATGGTTGTATTCGGTCTGCTGGTAAGTCAGACATCAGTTGACTCTAGTATTTTCCACGTAGTCGACGGCACTTTACACACTTGTGTAGCAGTGAAGATATTAAGCGCTTCGCTCCTATAATCCAAAACCCTGCTGACTGCAGTGTCCCAGCCGTGAAATGTCTCCCTTGATGCTTTACCAAACCAATTCATGAAAATGACGTATTAGTAAGACAGCTGCATGATGATTCTTCGGAATGATAAGTGGATGTCTCTCGTTGATACACAAGTATCCTCTCTTCAATCTACCTCCCACGCGTAGCAAACCGTTTTCATCAATAACTGGATTTAAAGAGATGAGGCTACTTCTTCTGGGCAATGGCTTTTGCGATTGCAAGCACATAATCTCCTGCGCCAAAACCTCCTGCTGGACCATACGTATGATGAGGTCTTCGGAAGAAAGCGAGTAGTTTGAGACTGCAAGGTCCTTAGAAGAGTGATACTTCCGAGATAGTGTTCTCAATCGGTCTATGGATCTCACTAATACTTTCCAAGTAGAGAATCTCTCCAGCCTTTGACTTATATGAAATGTCTCAAATTGATCATTCTTGTTGTTTTTAGTTGTTTTCAGAGTTTCAACCTCTCTAGTCTTGCGAATTTCAGTGTCATTCTCAGGATCACAGAGATGATATTCTGTATTGAGATTATCTTCAATTGGTTCTCTGAGTTGAGGTGGGCCTAAGTTCCACCTGTTGTCGATAATGTCTTCAGCAGTCACATTTCTCGTGCCAGAATCTGCTGGATTAGACTTGGTTGGAACATAATTCCATTGGTCAGGTGTCGTAGACTTCCTGATTCGTTCGATCCGGTTTTCTACATACTTATAGAATCGCCTGCTTTGGTTATGTATATAACCTAGAACAACGAGACTGTCGGTGTAAAAACGCACAGAGTTGAAGCTCATGTCAAGTTCATCACTGATGATATCATATATCTGGACAGACATCACTGCTGCGCAGAGTTCCAAGCGTGGAACAGAATGTCCTTTCATTGGTGCGAGTTTACACTTTCCCAAAACAAATCCCACATGAATGTTGTTTGACGCATCAACTGTACGTAAATAGGCCACTGAGGCTAAGGCTGTTTCCGAGGCGTCCGAGAAAATATGAAGCTCTGTTGACAAGGTCTCATGTAGAGAGATGGGCGCGTATGTTCTTGGAATATGCACATCTTCAAAGAATTTCAAAGAGTCTTTCCAATTAGACCATCTGTCCAATAGATGAGGAGGTAAGGGATCATCCCAATTGTACAAACCTCTTAACGAATCTCTCATCAAGACTTTTCCAGAGACTACAACTGGCGCAACGAATCCAATGGGGTCAAATATCCCGTTAATGGTTGACAACAGTCCTCGCTTACTGAAAGGCCTTTCTCCCACTGATAAAGGATAAGTGAATGAGTCAGATTAAAGCTCCCACTTCAACCCTAAGCTCCTTAACATAGGAAGTTCGTCAACACTTAAATCAATTTCACTGAAGTCCTTTGCCCTGTCCTCAGGTGGAAACGCATCCATAACATGTTTGTCGTTTGATGCTACCTTATGTAAACGCAGATTACCGCCCACCATAAGAGCAGCTTGTGTTCGTTTAAGTAAGTCGATCGCTTCATCAGCCGTTGGAAGAGAAATCAACCCGTCATCGACATAAAAGTTTCGACTTACAAAATCTGTCACATCAGGTCCAAAAATATCCTCTTCGGCACAGTCAGCCTTCCGGAGGCAATACACAGCAACAGCTGGTGAAGGCGAATTTCCGAAAACGTGAACTCGCATTCGGAACTCTATCAACTGCTTGTTTATGTCATTATCTTTGTAACAGAAAAAGCGGAGGAAGTTCCTGTGTCTCTCGTCAACTAAAAAACAGTGAAACATAGACTCAATGTCTGCTGTTACAGCTACAGGTTCTTTCCGGAAACGCAAGAGTACACTTAGAAGTTTGTTGTTCAAATCTGGACCAGAAAGAAGTACGTCATTCAGTGAAATGTTCTGAAACTTGGCAGAGGAGTCAAATACAGCTCTGACTTGCGATGGCTTTTTAGGGTGGTATACCCCGAATATGGGTAGATACCAACACTCTTCTTTTTCCTTAAGAGGAGGTGCGATATCTGCATGGTTGTTGTCAAATATCTTTTTCATGAAGGACATGAAATGCTCTTGTTTTGTTGGGTCTTTCCACAGACTGACATCCAAATTTTGTGCTCGCTTGAGTGCTTACAATCTGTTGTTTGGTAGTCGTTGTCGCTTTTCTCTAAATGGCAATGGAGCTTCCCAATTACCTTCAACACTGAGATGAACATCTTGATCCATGGTTCTGATGAACTTCTTATCGTCTACAGAGAGACCAACTGTATCGTCAACCTTTTGTTTCATGAAAATAGAAGAATCCAAATCTTGAGAATAGTGTCCAGTATCTTTATTGTGGACTTCTACGTGTATATCATTAGGACATGGTTGAAACATGGATGCCCTCCCATTTGGTAGCAGGTAAGTTTTGTTCACTACAACAGATTTGGGATGATGAACCTTGTTTAAACATGATTCGCCTACTATCACCCAACCCAAGGTAAGTTTCTGTGCAAAGGGTGAATTTCTGGCACCTGTTCGCTGTTCTACTACGTGGTGCGCTTCTGGATTATCACGGCCAATCAAGATGAGAAACGGAATGTTTTCATCAATTTCAGGTATGTCATCTGCAATGTCTTGAAGGTGAGTATATGATTTCGCTACGTCTGGTGTGAGTATTTCATTTCGGATATCTGGAATGTGGTTACATTCTATGACAATGGGTATGTCAACTGATGACGATCCATCTAGAGATGAAGCAGTGAGATTACGGGCTTGTCTGCCTAGCATGTCAGTAACTCCAGCACAGGAAGTTAACTGATAGTCCGTCATTTCACTTTCAATATTGAGCTGATCGAAGTCTTCTGACTTTACCAGTGTTCTATTGCTTTGGTCGTCTATTATTGCGTATGCCTTTAGCGATTTACTTGGATTGTTGGTTTTGTGCAAGTTTACCAAAACTATTTTTGCACATGACTTCCCTGAGAATCCATCTCTACATATCTGGGTGCATGCTGATGTTGTGGAATTATCACCAGTCTTCTCCCCACCATGAGACTGTGGGTGTTCCGATGTGAAGTGCTGACGGATGAGAATGGCTTCCACATCGAATACAATGAATCTGAGCTGTACACTCCTTAGACTTGTGTTCATTAGAATTACAGCATTTGAAAAAAATTTTGTTCTCCCGCAAAAAACGTTTTCGTTCCTTAAGTGACTTGTCTCTGAAACCACGACAATCATTCAGACTATGACTAGCTTTGTGAAGGGGACACACCGTAGTGGACTTCACATTTTCTGAATTCTGTGTCACTCCAGTTTTCTCCGTGGCAATCCATTGTTTCACTTGATTGTTTCTCTGACCAACCTTTTCTTTCATTATGTAAGAATTTGTAGCATTCTCAGTGGTGTACATGAATCCAGGGTCGTTTCTCATTTTGCTGATATCCTTCATGAATGAAACAAAACATGAGAATGGAGGAAAAACGACAGCATGTTGTTTTTTGTACTTGTATGCATGAGTAGTCAATTTCTCCTGAATGTTGTGTGGAAGCTTACACAGTATGGGCGCTATACCAGAAGAAGAATTGAAATGGTTTAACAGACTTCTGTACTTCGAACTTGACATTAGTGACTCGATCTCACAAAGTAAGTCTAGCAAGTCGTATAATTTCACATTGTCTCTGTTAGTGAGTTTAGGGAAAGAAGATAATTTGGACATCAACACAGATTCTAGCAGTTCAGGACTACCATATCGTTCGTCTAGACGTTCCCAGATTCTCTTAAGGGCTTCCGCCGGATTTGAAACATTTGCTGACCTGATACTTGTGGCATATTTTGATGAAGTTGGTCCTAGCCATTTTGTGAGAAGATCTAGTTCTTCTGTTTTTGTTGTTTCCAATTCTTTTATTATTTCTTGAAATTGCGCCTTCCAGAATATGTACGTTTGTGGCTGTGGAGTAAGACGAGAGATGAGTAAGTCTTTCTTCAAGAGAAACTTAGTGAAGTAATTTATCTGGTCATGTCCATTCGTTGAAATATCTGGAATATTAGGTTGACTACGAAGAAAAGGTCGATTTTCTACAGTAGTTCAGGAATACATGGTTGGCCAGGAAGAAAGGCTGGCGCGTACACATTCAGTTCGGCTGCTGGTTTCGTTTCCTCCTTACAATTTATGGCTGACTGTTCACTTGTATAACGTTTGGTTCTCTCCATTGGGTCAATGTGCCTCAAAGCCTCCAACCTTTCCAAATCTCGCAGTATTGGTTTCTCATCTTCATTCTCAAGTGCTTCTGCTTCTGTCTTTGTCGCTGCTACTTCTTGTTGAGTGTTTAAGAGTTTCCTCAAGGATGCAGCTCGAGAGACTTCATCCTGTTCAGCGATAGCTGCTTTCTGTTTCAGTAATGATGTTTCTTGATGTACAAAGTCCAGCCGGACTCTTGCTGCCTATGCCTTAACACGCATGCGAGCAAGTTGTGATGATGAATTCGAGGTATATGTGTGTTTTGATTGTGTTGATCTGGAGATTCTTGAACGACGTGAAACATTTTCAAGTGCTGCTTGGCGTGATTCGTTAATTTTGTCTATCACAGAGTTCACAGATTCCTTACATTTCCGCATGAATGAAGAGTGCTCTTGATTCTCTTTAATACTTTCTTTTGTTCTAGTTTTTGTCAGGAGTGACACAAAGTTTGCGGAAGATGAGCAATATTCTGCATTGGCTTTTGAAAGGTAACTTTCAAATGTGTCCAAGTAATCTAAGTTTGTGATGGTAGTACTGAAGGAAGAAATAAGGTTTTCAACAACTGCCCATTGAGCGTCTAACTTTGTCTTATAATCCTCACGAAGCTCGTTAAATTGTTCTGCTGCCATTTCAGTCAGAGTCCGAATCCGTAATTTAGAATCTTTAAGATCCAACTTGTTCTCCATCGTTGAACTTGTGAAAGACATAAGATCAAACTATAGCAACCGAGGTTTCCTATCTGATTGACGATCAAATGTGAACCTCTTAGTCCATGTAGTGGTAACAATCTTTTTACTGTTCTGTCTCGGGCACAGAAAGTCTCAACCAGTTCATTCAACATTTATTGAATAAATCAGGTAAAAAGCTACAAAATAAAGAAAGTCGCATTCAAATGGTTGTTTTCTATCAATATAAACACCAAGTTAAATTTATACATGCAAAAAAGTTTTGACACACACGGCGTTCCATAGTAAGAAAATCTTGAAAATTGTTCAATATGAATAATTCTTTTACAAAAATGACATTATGGTATACAAATATAAGACATGATAAGAAGAATGTGAACTACAGAGCTACATCCTAAAAAAATAAAACCAAAAACAGCTCGGGTGAATAGTAACATGTTGACAACATCAGCGACCGTAAATCATCTGTATGCAATTTTTCACAAGAAAAACTTGCTGTTATAATATTCATGTTACTTAAACAACATTATAATATCAGTAAAATTATAAATACATACATTGTTGTGGTATACAAGTTCCAAAACTGAGATTTCCGAGCGTGGTGCTTCCACGTGTTTACTTACTATGAAGGGAGATAATTCTATTTGAGAACTATGGAGCGCAATATGTGTAATGAAATCCACCACAGACAGTATTTTGGATACTTTTGTATATGATATAGTAGTAGCTTTATAGCTTAAAAATTAATACCCAGTCAAGCGTTTTAATGAATTACAACTATTTATTATATCCAAAATCTGAGAATATTTGATTTTCCTCAAAATTCATGTTTAGGCCATTGCTCAATGATGGGTGTTTGTACAGGAAAAGTCATTGACTACAGTGTTCGCAATAAATCATGCGAGATTTGCGAAAACGCAGAAAGGAAAAAAAACCCCTCTCCTGCTCCTCATGATTGCACAAGAAATTGGACAGGTAATGTCACCTAGGGAACTTCAACAAGTTTTTTGTAGATATTTGCATGTATACCTGAGCATCAAGGCAATGTAAAATACTTTATGAAATCTTTTTTTTAGCTCCACTGGTCAGAGACCAGAAGAGCTTATGCGATAGTAAGTTGTCCGTCGTCCGTCCGTCTGTAAACAATTTTCCAAAACGCTACTCCTCCTACAGTTTTAGTCCGATTTCAATATAACTTGGCACACAAGTAGACTACACTAAGATACATAATTCTCTGTATCGGTTTTTGATTTCAATGAACGGTGTTGCCATGGTTACTAAAA